TATGGCGCATAGTACGTACGTGCGGCGTTCTCTGGTCCCAACCAGTAAACAATTGTATACAGTACTTTCTACCACATAAAGTTTTTTCAGTATGAGAATAAACCTTTCTTCACAAAAATTTGAAGGGTTACAATATATAATRAATAAATCAAATACATTATCCAGCATCTAAGGGAAAGAATCCTTAGTTGAAACCACAGGCAGCCCAAACAAGGTACTCTTCTTAAATAATGGGAAGAGCGGATTTTGAAAAAAAAAAACACTAAGCGCTGAAACTTCGCCAGAAGACTGAACATGGTACAAACAACGACTGCAGCAAGTTTTAAAGCAAATTGTTGATTGAAACATTTCATTGTCATATCTTCATCATAACTCCCACACATTCCCTTGTGAACCATGAACAAGAACCTTCACCTTGTTTGGGCTGCCTGTGGTAAAACTGAAGTAAAGATTGAGTAGGGTACCTCAAGATCAGATGTAGAAAACTCGTAGGGAATGTTCCATCCAAGAGAAGAGCTAAACTTCTTTCGTTCATGGACAACAGCATTAAACAGACACAAACCAAACAACAGTCTTTTCCAGGCAGGTCCAGCACTGGGGTCTTCAAACACCGAATCTGTTACAACACCACCCACTGCACCAAATGTACGCAGCAGATTAGCCTTGATACCAGGGGGAGGCTCTACCGTCATCTGTCATCGTTAAACAATACAAACATATATAAGAAGAGACAATCGTGGAATAAAACATCAATCAYGTCTTCTTTTATTCGTTTACGAACCGTTGACGATGTCCGTACGAGTGCGATGCGAGTTCCGTAAAAGCACGGTGCGACTTCCGTACAAGCGCGGCGCGACTTCCGTACGAGTGCGGTGCGAGTTCCGTAAAAGCACGGTGCGACCTCCNTCCGTACGAGTGCGGTGCGACTTCCGTACGAGTGCGGTGCGACTTCCGTAAGAGTGCGATGCGAGTTCCGTAAAAGCACGGTGCGACCTCCGTACGAGCGCGGTGCGACTTCCGTACGAGTGCGGTGCGACTTCCGTACGAGTGCGGTGCGACTTCCGTACGAGTGCGGTGCGACTAGCGTTTGACTATAACTCAATCTATTGAGCACTTGATGACGCTTGAAATTGTGGCGAAAACGGCATAGCGGAAGACATTACCTTAAGTCCGACTTGTAGRATTGAGACAGGGAATGAAGGATCTGGTTTGGAACTAAGCCACATACGGAACTGAGGATCAACTGGGGTATCAGGCATGGATATTCTGGAAACAAAAAATAACAAATCATATAAAGTCCAACAAAAACATCAATTTTTGACGTATGAGTCTGGGTAAGCCGGCTAACTCACAGATTGTTAGGTTTATTTTTCTGRTATATTTTCTGACCTTTCTTGTTATATAATCTAATACTAAACTTTACCCCACACAATAGAAAATACAGCCGATCAGAATGCAGGAATGCCGTTGTAAATTCGTTGGTATTTCACTAGAAAGCAGTGTATAACTAGTATATATCTTTTGACAGATAGTCTACCCTCACCTTYTGCCCATCTTCTTACAACTTGTTCGCCCTACTCACCCCCTCCCTCCCCCTATTACAAACCTTTTGACGATCTGCTGTAGCCGAGGCATAAAGGAAGCGGCGTGTTGACAGTTCTGTAAGAACACCCATTTGCCCTTTTGCTGATAAGCCTTGGTGATGGCATCTTCGGCTTTTGGTTCTTGGCCACGACCAAGCGAAATCATGTCAAGGTGAAGCGTTGTACCTCGAAGCTCCTTCGCGAAACGAATAAGGCTAGAGGCTGGGTCTGAGCCTGGTGGAGTAACAATAATTATTAGAGCATATTTAGTATTACTGTGAAAAGCTGACTGACAAGCCATGCCGTGACGGTGCGATTAATCAGCAGTGATTTCGCGCGCTGTGATTAGTTTAAACGATGTCGGTCACTCCGTGCTGTGGCTGGCGGCTGGACCATTTTACTGTCACATCGTAATGGTAATCGTAATCGTGAGGCTTTTCCGGTTGCAACACTTGCGATGCGAACAAAGTAAGCTAAGAGATCTTAGAGCACCTTCGTTGCAAATAACCCCCTACCTGCCTGCCATCTAGCAGATTTTTCCCTAAGCACAGTTCTGGATCACAATGTTATGAGTAGTGGTTAGCTGGTCTTGAGTACTCGTAAAGAAAATCGGGACTTTGAGATTTGCAAAATCTGCGACGGCGACGTCATCCGGAAGTGTAAACAWCTTCACTTTGGGGTTTCGAGCTTCAAAGTCTGTCTTCCCCGTGGATGAATTGACCTTACTAACAATATTTGGAATGAAATCTCCAATAAACAGAACCCCAAAGAAAAATTATTTACACTTCCGGTCACGTCGCCGTCGTAAATTTTGCAATTCTTAAAGTCCCTAATAAAAGAAGGCGCGCACCGGACATCCCTTGGGCTTGGGTTTTAGGTGACCCCCCTCACCCCCCCCCCCCCCCCCCCCCCCCCCCCACCCCCCCCCCCCCCCCAAATAATAAAGTCAATGCTATAATTGCAATCCCAGCTACAGNAAAAGAAGGCGCGCACCGGACATCCCTTGGGCTTGGGTTTTAGGTGACCCCCCCCCCCCCCCCCCCCCCCTCACTTGGTCGAAAAGCATGCCTAACCACTCAAATAATAAAGTCAATGCTATAATTGCAATCCCAGCTACAGTTACCTGGCGAAAGGATGAAAATAAGAGGTGTTCTTGCATTGGATTCCTCATAAATCTCCTGTAAATCGAAGCCAACGTTGGTGACAAATTTACTGCCCAGCTGTCGTTCCACGAACATGCGCACAGTCTCCACAAGACACTCTGGCCTTAAGATCTTGATTAGCATCAACTTTTGGAATCCCGACAGAGTCTTGCTTTKCCAGCCTATTTTCGTGGAGCGACTACCACCTGATAACAAGCGTTRAATACTATTTTAATTGCATTTTTCTTATCGAGCACAATTTTTATTATATTTTCGAGGGCAAGTAGCGTTAAGCTAATTCCAAATCAAATATACCAAAATATATTAATAATCATTACAACTTGGTAGTACCACAGGGAACCCATAGAGTACCTTTTGTTTCTTGCTTCTCAACATCATCGTCACTCTCTAGTATCTCATAGGGGTTGGATGATACAGTGAACTTTTTCCAGAACTGTTTATTGACTGTGATATTAGTGCACAGACCAGCAAATTCTTCTAGCTGATTGGATAATTGCACGCATTCCTTCCAAGCAGACTCAGAGATCCATTTAGCTGGAGAYTTGCTCATCTTAGCTACGAGATGACCCATGCTTCCTCCTGCTTTGGTTCGAGATACTAAAAGAGATGGGATAATTGAATGAATGGGAGGGTGGGATAGGACAAACAGATGGATGGATGGATGGATGGATGGATGGATGGATGGATGGATGGATGGGTGGATGGATGGATGGATGGATGGATGGATGAATGGATGGATGTGTGGGTGGATGGATGGATGGAAGGACGGACGGACGGATGGATGATTTGATGGCTGATTTGATGGATGAATGGATGGGATGGAATGGGATAGGAAGCTGGAATGGACAGACGAGAGAGTGGATGAATAYATGGATGAAGAGGATGGGATGAATCAATAGACAAATGGGTGAGCGTACGTATTAATAGGATGGGATGGGTTGGATGAGTGGAAGAATGGGTAAGCGTACGTATTAAGTGGATGGGATGGGATGAATGAGTGGAAGAATGGATGAGTACGTATTAAGAGGATGGGATGGGACGGATTAATGGACGAATGGGTGAGCGTAGGATGGGATGGGATGGATGGGTGGATAAATGGAACGATGGACGGATGGATAAATAGAAGAATGGATAGGTGGATGRATTCCCTAGACAGAAGGTCACATATATCATACTAACCTCTAGGTGCTAAGTGTGCACCAAATGATGGCTCATCATCATCACCTTCGATTCTCTCAGCAATAGCAGCCATAGCAGAGCCCCTTAGRAAAAGTTTCCACTCCGTCTCGGTGATAGGAGGTTTGTTGGTCTCTACGTTTCGCTTTAGTTTATCTTTCATAAGAATGTTCGCGCACAGCATGAACGAAAACGTCAATTTATGCCGAGCAAAAATCGCATGCGACACAACGCGATAGACATTCTCTGTCAGTAGATCCACGAGTGCCTTCAGATACTCGGGTAAGTCACATTCATCTTTGCTTTTGGGGACGGTCATCTTTCGATTGAAGCCAGCAAACTCCACCATTGATATTCGTTTGCCTACAGATATATCAAAACTGTTACTTAAGTTAGTATAAAAGTGCGCTATGTTACGTTGGTGTCAACAGAACTTTGGGAGTGGAAAAAATTATTATTGAAGAAATAGAAAACGCGCGCGTGCTGTGCGCAGTTAAGTGTTAGGAGAAGCGCGACGCGTAGCGGAATGCTTTTCGACAGTTCTGCGCTCAGCACAGCRAGCAAGTTTTTTATTCCTTTTATAAATTTCAATAAGCGCTTTTCGGATAGGAATGACGCAACCGAAAGTGCGCGTGCGTGCTGTGTGCTCTCATAAACAGTTTATAACAGTTATTCTATAATCTGTTGTGGTACAATTTATCTTTATTTTCTGGTCTCAGTATCTTCTTACCGRACGTTTGTATAATGGCGTCATTTTACTATCACTACCAGAATGCTTCTTATTCTTATCTCTTTAGTAAGAAGGTTGCTGCTAATAAACCTCATTGCCATGCACTCAATGTTTTCCTATTTATGATCCGTTTGTTTAACAACTGCGCAGGAGAAATTACAACTCTAACAAAGCACCTTATTCTCAAGAGAATGGCAAGGGCGGATCCAGGCAAAATTTTAGGGGGGGCTAATTGAGTTTAGGGGGGGCTAATTGAGTTTA